CACAGACTCACAGGCGTACGTCTATTTTTCTTTTTGGTTTCACCGTGATTTCCCTTACAATTAAGGTTTCTGTGTTTGGAAATTGGATTTAATATTTGTTGCTTATTACAAACTATTTTCCCTGTTTGGCAGTGGTGAAAAATTTATCCCATGTTCGAGATTTGTTCTTAGCTTTAACCAGGTTATTAATATCCATTTTTCTTGTGTTTTAAATCTTCATTTATTGCATGCTTCTCACAATGGGATCCGATCCATTTCTTTCACCATATTTAACGGATTAATTAATTAATTACTTTCTTTTTTTCCATTATCAAAATCCAAAACCATATTATTACACACACACACACACACACACACACACACACACATATATATATATATATTTCCTTCTATATCTTAAAACATTAATGTACTTTCTCATATGTATTGATCCAATATCATCTGCTTCACAATAACTTATTATATGATTTTTTTTAAACTTTGTTATTAAAATGTGACTAATTTAAACGCAGTCAAATACATATATATTATTTATCAATTTTATGCTATTTTCTCTCTATATATGTCTGTGGTAATTATATAATATATGTAACATTAATCTATCTCATTGGGAAAACGCATTGGAATCTGGATTAAAATACGAAGGGGCTGGAAGCAAACGTGTGGAAAAGGAAGCTGCGGCCAAGATCTGATCTGATGGGTTAAATTAAATCTGATCATGCGGTGATGCGTGGTTCCAGAAGGAGAAAGTAAGATAGATCTGATCACAGGGAATCAAAAATAGGGTTTTCATTTTTTGAAGAAGAAAAAAAAAGTGACGAAATAGAGAAGAAATAGGGGTTTTGTTCCACTTGTTAGAGAATAACAGTTGTGTTTTATATATAACTGTGAAAATTAAGGATATCTTAGTAGAGAGAGAGAGCTACTGATTCTCTCTTAGGCTTAGGGTTATTTGCATAGAATCTTAGCCAAACATGGYCACCCATATTGTACAATTTGTAATGTAAATTATCTCTCTATAAACTCGTATCGTTTTCTTTTGGTTTTACTCGAACTGTCTTGTGTCAGTCGATAAATTGTTGGCCCTTTCGTCACTTATTATTTATCTGGGTTTCTTTTTCTTGTCTAGTTGACGATGTGTGATTTTGGCCCGTGTGTTGTGGGTGGTGGGTGACATGGCGGGATATGGAAGGGCATACAAAAGATGGAAGCTTTTGAATGTCGGGTGGGAGCTAGGATTATTGGAGGAGGCCAGAACAATTATTAGTCGGTAGTTGTACACACTGTTTGACGTATAAGAGAGAAGTTAATTATGGAATGCATTTCTAACTTATATCAAAGAGTTCGTAAGTGGTATTGTATATAGATTTCAAATTTGCATCCAAGAGATATTACAGAATCTCGTTAGGAAGGAGGTGGGGGCCACCCGGGAGAGGGATTTTGGTATGTGATTGGTTTGAAATGGCAGGGAAAAATATATGGTATTGTACTATTGTATTGTATTGTGTACTTGTATAGGGTCTCAAAATAGGTCAAAAGAAAGACACTTTAAATTCATTAGACAAAAGGAAATTAAAGATATGAAGAACAACAAAAACCCCAATCTAAGGTTATAAATATAACTACTCTCCCTTTATATCTTTAACAATATCCAATCTCTAGAGATCTCTTCTCTCACTTTTTTTTTAATCACATTTTCCTCTTTACCACAGAGATTGAATTTTAGGGTTTCACTACTTTGAATAGGGATTCTAAGTTATTATTGAATATAATACCCTCGTACATTTTCTTAGAGTAAGTATCCACAATTGACATCTTATATTGAAACCTTTCGAACTGAATTATATATATCGTTGTTGATATTTCTCATTAAACCAAAAATTTGTTCAACGAAAACCCTTTAATATCAAACGATTTTTGTTAGTTGATTAATACAACTAAAATCATATAGGATAGATAGAACTATGTTAAATTCTTGGCATAATTTGAACCGTGTTGACGTTTTTAAGAAATTTATACCAAAACCTATATTTCATCAAATAGTATTCTTTGAGAGATATTTTTTTTTATGTATTGACGTTAGATTCAATATTAATAAAAAGGTAAATTGAACATAGTTCAACTGGTTAAGACATATAATATATTCCGTAACCAAAAGTAGAAGGTTCGAATTCCCACTTCCATACATTATTGAACTAAAAAAAATATATAATATATATAAAAGGTGGATCGAGAGAGAAAACTGCGTTGTTTCTAGCGTGCCTTGGCAAAAATAGGGTTAGCATATTTTTTAGGTTATGCATTTTTAATTAAGTACCCTCGGCAGAAGTTCTTTCACTTATGTATGAAACTTTGTTGCACATATGGGTAGTATTTATTTTAGTTTAATAATATGTGAGGATGAGGATTCGAATCACCGATATTTCAATCGAGTTTAAAAGATTTCTTGAAATTTAACCTTGTACAGCTAATCTGCTAAATATAATCCAATAATGATTTCATCTACAATGGAAATTATCAAGCCCATGTAATTAAGTTGGAAAAGAAGCTTCTTTTGTGAAGAGAGAGAAATCTCTATATCTCTATTTCTATGGGATAATTAAGTTTAATATAATTAATATTAATGAGAGAGGAGATCAATATCATAAACAGTAGTATTAAATAAAGACAACAAGTAGTGGAATAGAACATAAAATTTTGAAGTTCTTTGTCTGACAAATAGTTTTGTTTCATTACTAATTATTATCATACAAACAATTTCCTCCACAGCATCATCATATAAAATGATTAATTTGTTATTCGAGAAGTTTAAAGATGTTTTTGGTCAAATTAACGAATAATGTTTGGCTTATTGGGAGCATATAAGACTTAATTTTTCTAAAGATATATTTAGATAACTAAATATATTTATATTATATATATAAGCTATTAATATTCATGGGTTTCATCTTCGAAAAGAAAATAAAATGTAACCCCGACCCTACAACATTTAGTTCTAATTCCTATAGTAAGGTGGTCATTATGAGGTTTGAATTCATTTCCTCCCAATTAACTCCTTTGAATCAATGAACCATGTACGATGGTTGAAACGATTGATAATTAAAATTCTTTTCTTTTTTTGGTAATTGTAGGAAGAGTGTAAAAAAAAACATATTCTAATACATTTTTAATGAAAATATTTATTTTGTGAACACATTCAAAGATTTAAAAAAAAAAGAACACATATATAAAATTTAGGCTTATCATCCAGATTCTAATTCTGAATCAAAGGTTGAATTCAATGAATATGTGTTTGGCATATTTAGTGGAAATTTTGGGAACAAATTATTATGTTTTTCATTATTTTAAGATTTTGAATTTCAAACTTCAAAATGTAGTTTTTTTAATATGCTATTTCGTGTTATAAATTCATTTCGTTTTTATTAAAATTAAAACGTGTAAATATATTATTGTAAAATAATTATTTTACAAAATATATAACATTGATAAATTAATTAATATATGTTGAACTAAATCTTAGTGGGTAACAATGAGTAAATTTTAAAAAAAATTACATTGAGATTCAATTTCCAGATCTACCACCAAACACATATATGAAAACATAGAAAATACAGCTCTATTTTTTCCTTGAATCATTTGTTTTCATTTTTTTTTTCAGACCATCGATCAAACCTATACTTAGGGATTCAATTTCTATATCCACGGCTCAAAATACACATTCGAAAACATCGAAAATGTGGAATAATAACTCTGTTTTCTTTTGAATCACTTGTTTTTAAATCTCTATTTTCACAACCTCAACCAAACCCAACCTTAATTACTGGAAAGAAATCTAATTTTGAGAAGGGTTTGAAGTTCAAACATGCATTAATTTTTGTTTTTAAAAGAAAAGATTGGTAGCTTTTTTGTGGAGCAACATAATTATAATTGAAAATAGAAAAGAAGTGTTAGGTTTGTCCAATGATTCACATGGAATAAGTCCAAAACTAGATATAGCTACTAACTTTCAAATCTCCCCCCCAAAAAAGGACTTAAAATTAAAATTGAAATTGTTTCCTCTCCTTTTATTTGCAAGCCAAAAGCTGCATGCGACATAATTTGACTCGTGTCAATCTTCTTTTTTCACATCAATCATATGCATTATATAATTTCTTGACCCCCATTCTCAATCCCATCCTACCCTACCTCTATCTATAAATCCTCAACTTTTATGTCTACCTTCATTTTTATTCTAAAGTAAAATAAAAAGTTACTAAAAGAAATTCTCAAATCAACCAAACATTTGAATTCCTTCTTGTGGTTAAAAAAACCAACATCGTTATCCAACCAGTCATAATCGATATCTAAGATAACTTTACCATATCAGTTATAAGTTGCTTTGAACTAGATCGGATTCTTATACGCAAGTCAAGCAGATAAATAACATATCTGTTGATTAGAAAAAGAAATCAATGAAGTTTTGAATCCAACAAGTCTTTATCAATCATGGTTTTGCTATGGGTAGAGCTTAAAGTTATTTAGAATAATATATTTCTTTAATATCATGTTAAATTGGGTTAAAGATCTAAAAATTTAAGCTATTAGTTAAAGTGAAGTGAATTTTTTAAAGCTGAATTACAAGTTCAATTATCCTGCTGAATTTTCAAAATTTGTGCTTAATAGGATCGTGATTTTTCAATTTGTGTCTAACCAAATCTATAATCTATTAAACATAAATCCAAAGTTGTAGATCAGATCTCTATTAGACACAACCTTAAAAATTTATGGACTAAATTTTCATGACGTTGATAGCAAAATATTTAAAATAAAAATTATAGTATATTAATTTCCTAATAACCTTATAGAGGGAGATGGAAAATAAATAGACCTTTCTTTTTTTCTCTTTAGGGACAAATTACATGGATAATTATGAAAGTCTAAGAATTGAAGAAGGTTAGGTTATATATATATATATATATATATATAAGATTCCAAAAAGTGGGATAGATTATATTTGAGTAATTTTTCAAAAATGAAAAAAGAAAGATTATATTCGAGTCGCTCTTCAAAAATAAAATTGAAAGCTGCATCTACAATTGCATGCGACATTATTTGAGACAACATTTAGCCTAAAAAAAGATATAATGATAATAATAATAATGAAAAAACGACATCATTTGACACACGTCTTTCTTCCCCTTTTTTTTTTCTTTTTTCACATCAATCATCATCATTTTCATAATTTCCATTTTCCCGCATGCTCTCTCTCCCTATCATTTCTCCTAACCCTAAATTTCATCGAAGTCTTCTATCAAACCACTATATATACATCTTATTTACGTTATTCATGTCTATAGTTCTTATTTTTCTTTTTTCTTTTTAAATAAATAAAAACATAACTGTGATTTGTTGATGATTGATCATTCATTTTTCTTATATCTGTGAGTATACAGGTCAAATTACACGCACTCCAACTAATATCACAGGACAACCGCCTGATCCTATATAATATTTGATGTCGAGAAACATATAAGAATTGATTCATACTTAGGTAGTTGGACCAATTAGCCATCTATAATGGTTATTGTTTTTTTTCACCCTTTTTTAAAATTTTAAAATAAATTTTCTTTATACAAATTAATTTTTAAATTAAATATTTAATTTTTTTTAATGTTATATTGATTTTTAATATTTGTTATACATTTTATAAGTCACGGATGGACAAATAATAAATTTATTTATGAAGAAATTTGATTTTGTTATGCTTCTAAATTTTTTACACAATTTTGAAGACGTTTCTTAAATCGAGAAACAAGAAACATGAATATTATCTAAACGGGTCTCAAATGACTTACTCCCTAACCTTCTTTTTCTTTATACCATACTCTAAATTGCATATTTTCGTCTTTCTACTTCGATGACATCCTCATTTCACGATACATGTTCTTATCATTAACCGTCAATGTTAATATTTCATTGGCCTTTTGCTTTCGATTTTCTCTCTATTTTTACTTTCATTTAAAAAATACCGAAAACCAACTCTATGTTTATCGCTCTCTACCCGTTTCATATTTCTAATTTGTATTTGTTCACCTATCAAGTCATAAAAAAGAAACATCCAACTCACTATATATTAGAAATTTGCCATCATATCCACAAAGTTCGTTACATATCCATTAGCAAGTAGGATTAGAAAGAAGAATAAATTACGAAAAAATGATGTAATAGGTAAAGAATTACAGTAAGAAACTTGTAATGTAATTTAAACTCATTTAGATCTTACCTATAAGAGATAACTAATTTTAATCGCATGGTAGGAGTAAAAAATTTGTCTTTTCATGGGAAAGATAGGTCAATAATATTCCTTTTTTAAAAAAAAAATATAGGTCAATAATACATTAAAATATTCGAAAAACACGTTTCAAGATTATAGGCGTGCACCTTTACTTTTTATTTTACTATTTATGACTTTTTAATTAAATATTAATTCTACGATAACGATAGGTAAATAGTTTAGTTGACTAGTCAATGCAAAGAGAATTTGTGATATATTTTTTTAAATAATATTATGTATTAAAATATAAATTATTTTGATACCTTTTACGACAAAAATAGATGGACCATAACATAGTTTAATAGTTTTATAATATTTTGTTTTTGATATTATAATATTGGATGTTGCGTATGAATTGACAACGAATTTCCTTGCTTCGAAGAAATGAATTCTAAAAGTTACCAATAATTTTATATAAAGTTGGCCTCCTATTCTAATATTTTGGACAATTAAGCATGTCACTTGTCACATTAGTGATGTCCATGTTTGCAAGCCATCAAAATTGACCTAATAACGAAACAATTTCTAAAGAAATATTTACTCTTGATCATTTAAGATAGATATTCTATAAACGATTAAATGTGCTATAATCCGTTAACTTAAACTTTTTGACTTGTTGGTAATTTAATCATATTTAAAATGATATCTGAACAAGAGGCTTTATGTTCGAACTCATGAACTATCATTTATCATCTCATTAAATTTGGTATGTTCCGTGCTTATTCATCAATGAAATGATTTTTATTTATTAAAAAAATATATTGAACTCTGATTAATTAATTTTTTTTCAATTTTAACTTGGGTAAAAACTATTTATTAATCGGAAAAAATATTCTTTTATTTATAATATAATCATAGGCTGTTAATAACTCAACTCATAAATATTTGAGAAGATAAACGAAGTTTACTGATAAATGATAACAAATAAGAGTGAGGTCAATGATGAATGGCATCTATTGTTTTCTTTGAGATTCAAAGCTCAAAATTTGGTTCTTTCTTTTATTTTTTTTTTATCTTTTTAAATCTCATATCCCCATTTTGTTCTTAAAAAAAGAACTCATAAATACCTCTACTAAATATAACTATAATCAAGTTATCTAGATTGACAACATGAACTTAATTTAGTGGTAATTGACACTTAATACTTGAGTTCGAATTTCCCGCCCCGGTACTTAAAAAAAAAGTAATTAACTATAAATAGATAATCTCAATTAGTATTAATGTGTTTCGAGGCCGAAGCCCATGGGACTAATCAGATCAGACGTCAAAGAGGGAGAAGAAGAAGAACGCAACTTAGCCCATGAGGCCCTAGAAGGCCTTCACGTTTGAAGCCCATTTGACTGAAAATTTCCTGGTCCAAAGCCCATGGACCTAATGAGATCAAATTCCGAGGAGGGAGCCCGTGAAATCCACTTGGGCCCATTCGAAGCCCAACTTTAATCACAATCACAACGAGAGTGAAGAAATCGACATGTCGTTTCAACGGTCAAATTCGTCGAACGCCAGGAATTCCACCAACCAAAATTCACAGCCCACCTTCCCCCGCCCGCCACAATACCCACCAAACAAACAGAACCAGAGAGAGAGCAGTGGAGAATTGGAGGGTAGGTGGGCATGGTGGGTGGGTGGGAAATGATTTTCTATAACTAAAAATTGTCCCCCAGAAATTTTTTTTGCGATTCTCAATTTCACTATCTCGTCAACCCTTCGTCCTGATTCTTCTCTCATGGCGTCGTCTCTCTCCTCTAAACCATTTTTTGGTTCCTCGAGAATCGAAGGCTTCTCTGGGTTGAGTTCTCTCTCTTCAGATCTCTCGAAACTCTCCTTTTCGGCTGTTAAAATCTCAGTCGGGTCCCGGAGCGCGAAGAAGCTGCGTAAGTTTGCTTTTATCTACTTCTCTGTTACATTTTCAGTAATGAGTTTGCGGATTGCTTCTTCTGTATATGTATCGTTTTTTGGTTTCTCGAGGGTATGGTTTTGTTCCTCTGTTTTTGCAGTACCTTTTATGTTGGGATGCGATGCGGAATTCGTTTACTAATTGGTTTTGGTAGCTACTGTTTTGGAAAGAGCGATTTTTTTGCTTGATTTCCAGCTCGGCACTGTGGAGAATTTCGAAACCTCGGGTTTTATTAAATTGCTTTTGTTATTCTGGTTATACTTATTGCCGAGGGCTTGAATCAAGCTCATTTGAAAGTTGTATTTAAGTTATTTTTGTTGAACTGTTTGAGTTCTGATAGTGCAATGTGGTGCATGTGATTTACAATTGAAGTCCATGAATCCTAAGATTCGGATGGCTGACAAGAGTTGAATTGGGGGTTTGGAGAACGTTGTTTTTTAAAACTTAACTAAAGGACTTGCAGCCAATAGCTTCGGACTTTTGAAGTTCTTACATTTTGTTCGGCTAATTACAGAGATAAAAGCTGCTGGAAGTACATTTGGAAACTATTTTCGCGTTACAACATATGGAGAATCTCATGGAGGTGGAGTTGGCTGTGTGATTGATGGATGCCCTCCACGCCGCCCGCTTGCAGAAGCTGATTTGCAAGTGGAGCTTGACAGAAGGTACGTGCAAGGAACTTCATAGTCTTTCCTCTCTCACATTCTGTCAATTTATGCAAGCGTAAATAGAAGGATGAAAATATTGGGAATGTCCTTAGAGTTTCTATGGTGCTGGTGTTGGTAAATTCCTGTAACAAAGAATTTTCTTGAGTATTAACTGGTAGAGTCTCTTTAAATATCCAGGAGACCAGGTCAGAGTAGAATTACCACTCCAAGGAAAGAGACTGATACATGTCGGATACTTTCAGGAGTCACTAATGGTATGGTACTAAACCATTTAGCATTCTTGGGAATTTTCTTCACCTTTAAAAGTTTAAATCTTTCGATCACTACTCCCTTAAATGAATTATTTATGATACTTCAATGGCAGGAATTACTACTGGAACACCAATTCATGTATTTGTACCAAATACCGATCAGAGAGGACATGTGAGTTGCTTAGTTTACAGAGAAATCTTTTAAATAAGCAAGTTTCTTTTCTTTTTATTTTGCTTGACTGAAAATAATATATTTCTCTCTCGTAAATCATATTTGATTGGATTGAATATGAAATTTATTTTGCTTGACTGAACATATAGATCCTCAATAGCAATAATCCTAATGATTACATCCAAAGTGAACACTTGTGGCTTGATATGGAGTCTGTAACCGGGGCATTCTTTTCACCCACATTGTGAATGATTTAGTGCATAGACGGTTTGATCTATTATGGTGAAAACAATCTTTTTTGTTTTTATTTTCTTCTTTTGGTCTTTTGGTTTAAGATTCTCTTTAAGCCCTGACACTGTTTCTCTCACAATGGAAATGTTAAAAGATAGCACACATGATGGTTTTATGATGAATATGGTGCATGGATCTTGTATTCATGGTTTCCATTTATATCTAGCATAAGTTCATATGAGACATATGCACTAGCCACATATTTGCTTTATTCCTGTTTATGTTGGTAGGTCTAACAGTTTTGTCATTTTATTTCAGGATTATAGTGAAATGTCAGTAGCCTATAGGCCTTCTCATGCCGATGCTACTTATGACATGAAATATGGAATTCGAGCTGTTGAGGTAGTGCCTTTTGTTTTGTACTATAATATCATGCTGATACCGGTAAGAATTTTGGTAATATTATATATGTCCTTCGTGTTGTTCTTGTAGGGTGGTGGCAGATCCTCGGCTAGGGAAACCATTGGGAGGGTTGCTGCTGGAGCTGTTGCTAAGAAAATTCTCAAGGAACTAGCAGGAACTGAGGTGCGTTCATAATTTAACTTGGTAATGAAATTTATGTTCCTTTTCAATATTGTCATTATTTTCTTGCTGAATCTTAGTTATTATCCATATTTCATAACACAGTGTATACTTACACACACGTCCTTTCTATTTCTCAATCTGAGGTGTGGCTTATCTCCTGAATGCCTGACTTGTTATTGTCATGTCTTTAGGTACTTGCTTATGTATCTCAAGTGTACAAGGTTGTACTGCCAGAGGGTTTGGTCGATCATGAAACTTTGTCAATGGAGCAGGTAAATTAGAGATGCAGAGAGTTAAAGCTGTTGTACAGTTGCTACATTAGCATTTTGAATCTTGGTACTAGGATCCGATGCTTCTTGTTGCAATCTTGATATTTTAATTTCGGCTTTCTGTAATTCATGAATAGTCACCAATACTGAATTAATACTGAAAATTAACATTGAAGTTGCCATCTAAAAGCTGAACATATATTGAAAGTCTCATTCATTTCAAGAATTCTCAACACCCTTAACATGTAATGAAGTCGGATGCAATTCTCTTTAACCATCCTTCTATCTTTGATATTGGACAATGGGAGTCTCTTACTGTAAAACTGGTTTTATTATTGAAAAAGGGTCTCTCATTAATTATTTGTCCACTGACATAATGATTTGTATATCCATTTGAGAAACTCTCTATGATTGATGGCTATTCTATGCTTTGGGAAAGTTTCTGATGCTTGATCCAACTTATCGTAGTATTGATACTCCTTATATACTGAGTGTCTTTGCTGTTAATAACCTGATAGTCATTCCTATGAACATTACCAGATTGAGAGCAACATAGTGAGGTGCCCAGATCCTGAATATGCTGAGAAAATGATTGCTGCCATTGATGAAGTCCGTGTGAAGGGAGAATCAATTGGTGGTGTTGTCACGTGCATCGTGAAGAACTGTCCACCTGTACATCTCTCTCCCTCTCTTTCCTCTATTAAACATGCTTTAGGCATATGAATACCACTAAATGTCTAAAACCCTTACTTTGATATACCAAGACATTTTAAATAACAAGGTTTACAAATTTCGTCAGGGGCTTGGTTCACCAGTGTTTGACAAACTTGAAGCAGAGTTTGCTAAAGCTGTCCTGTCATTACCTGCATCAAAGGGCTTTGAGATCGGCAGCGGGTTTTCAGGTTGAAATTTAGTCTGGTACTTCGGAGCACGATAGTGTTGTATTGATTACATTTTAAACTAGTGGTTATAGAATTACTTCATACTTTGCAGTTGCTTCAGTTTTCTTTTTTACCCAGTACTCAAAATCTACAAAACAAAAACCCATGCAGGTACCTTTTTAACTGGCAGTGAGCATAACGATCCGTTCTTTGTTGATGAAAATGGAAGAATTAGAACAGTTACAAACCGATCTGGCGGAATACAGGTATTCAGTCATGCCCATGAGAAGTGCGTAGACTTGATCTACAGAAATTGGGTCCTTCTCTTTTTGTGAGTTTGTTCTGAATGCTGATAACTTGTAATGATGATGCTTAGGGAGGTATATCTAATGGAGAAACCATAAGCATGCGGGTTGCTTTCAAGCCAACAGCTACCATTGGGGTAAAACTTCTCTTCTCTATCATAACCATACTTGTACATCTGATAAAATATTGCAAACTCCACTGGAATGCCACCAAAGCACTCGTACCAATTTTCTTTTCTTTAATGCTGCCCGACATTATTTGGATGGGATGTCCATTTCATTCGCATTTGGTGAAAACCAAAAGTGAATCTCATGTTGCTTCAGTTCATCTTGGTCATATGTTTGTGTCTATCTTTGGTTCTCCACATAAAAATACTTTGTGCTTGATTCAGAAAAAGCAACACACAGTGACCAGAGAGAAGAAAGAGGTTGAGCTGATCGCACGTGGTCGCCATGATCCTTGTGTCGTCCCGAGAGGTACTTCTTTTAATGATTTTTAAAAATCTATCTATCCTTTGCAATTGCAGCCATTCTTGATAAGAAATGACAGAAATAAACTTGAGATATTGCAGAGTCTCCAATCGGTTGTAAATTTTATATCAAATTTGACTGCCTGATGTCTGTTTAGTAATCTCTTGTAGATATATGAGATTTTACCTCTCTTGTTTCTAAATTATCATTAGAAAACTTGTTACCATGAATATATACTGCATAGAACTGGAGAATTCAGGCTATAAACAAATTGCCTTTGGTTGCATGGTGATGCAGCTGTACCAATGGTTGAAGCTATGGTATCTCTAGTGCTCATGGACCAGTTGATGGCACAATATGGACAATGCAATCTATTCCCAATCAACTCAGATCTGCAATCATCCATTGAACCAAGGCCTGAGGCTTTGAAGACGCCCATTTGAACCGAAACTAGTGTAACATAAATCTCCTATATGTGCTCTGCGCTCGGAATACAATATTTGTCTGTACACTTGTGCTAATTTTTTCCTTCTACCAATCTTCCTGTAATCTGTTGAGATCTTGGAACAAAGTAAGTTATATTAAGTTTGTTTCATGCTTACCCTTGAAATGTGTGGTACTTGTCAAAATTTTGCTCAATTGTATTGAAGGGAATAAAGAATTTGAATAATGAAGATCTCTCTAAGTATTCAGTTCATTGCTTCTCAGTTGTGTTATTAGATGGAAATTGCCTAAAGTCTGTCTCCCTCGATTCTTCTCTCTTTTCTGGGCTAAACAAACTGTTGTCAAAGGGTTACAACGGGCTCCAATCGAACATGGTCGCCAAAAGAGGGGAAAGAAGACGAGTATGATTCTCGACTCCATTGCAGATACTCTCCTTGAAATCTTCCCAAACACCCTATACCCTTACATATTCTCTGGTTGAGTTCTTTATTTTTATCCAAAGTCTTATTTAGTCATGATCAGTTGTCAAAATTCAAAGAAACATCCACAGATGACTTGGGAGAATGTTAGATTAACTATAAAGTATCCCTCTGCTCCTCTCATCTTCTGAAAATGGTCCAAGGTTAATGCATGTCTTTGTCTAATTCCATCATCAGGTTCTCAGCCAACCATAGTTAGCTAGGTGTATTCTGAGTTTAAATACTATTTTTGTCCTTTTTATTTCTATTTTGATCTATTTTGGTCCCTATTTACAAATTTTAATACAAACTTTATATACAATGAAAATCATTTAATACAAATTTAATACGAAAAAAATAGACTATAGAAACTAGGCACTAAAATATTATATAAACCTATTATTTATTATTGTTTTAAAAAATATTTATTTTTGC